GAGAGAAAACGCCACAGTCTGCTGCTGTGACTGCACAGGCCTTTCCTCCATTATCTTCTGGAGTAAGAGACTGATAAATATTGAGGTTCTTTGTTAACGTGTTAATGACACCAGAGACTCAACACAGCAGGCAGGTATTTCTGCCCTTTTCAGGTCGATTATCCAGTAGTGCGACAATTTTTCCATTGGGGGCGAGTTTAAGCCTCATCGCGCATCATGTAGTATGCAGGGAGGCAACAAGGGGTGATCAGCCTCTCACGACCACCTTCCGATCAGAAATCTTAAGGTTGGGAGAAAATCAAACGTGTTCGAAATCCAATCGGCCGTCTTAAGGTGGTCGTGGGCAAATCCTGCTGTTGAAGCAGAGCTACGTGCCGATTTACCAGAACCTCCAGCACTTCGTTGTACAGTTTGAGCTGTAGCTGCGTGCAACAATTGAAAAGATAACGCAGTGTATGCCCAGCTTAAGGTGGGCGAGCGCATCGCACCCACATCCAGAGAATCCAACCCGAATCCCTGAACTTCCTAAGGCTGGGCAAACACTGTACGACATTTTCAATCGTTGCACTAAGCTACAAATTCAACTGTATGACGAAACCACAGGGTTTAAAAGTATAACGCTCACGATGTATGTTCTTATACTATATGGCCTGACCAGTGGCGGCCGGCCCATAGGGGGCGCTGGGGCACCGCCCTCCCTGATAAGAAGAGAGAAACGTAAATATATTTTTAGAAATTAACTCATAAATGTCAGTTTTACTCTCTAGACTGTGTACCTATAAGCAAAACAAATTATATAAACTACATTTCCCTATCTACTGTCATTAATTTGTGGATTTCCACAGACAGACTCCTACCGTCTCTGTTCTGGGGGCGTTGATCAGACTGACCCACATTTGCAGAGAATCTGTCAATCATGTACTATTGCTAGGTGAATTTAATGGCCAATCAGCGTCTCGGAACTTTATGGTATTGGGGCGCTGAAAATACTGCGCTTTAACAGGCTTCTGAACCCAAGCGCAGGTGCAGACAATTAGAGGGAAGATGGCGAACGTAACGAACGAGATGCAGCTTCCACCAAATTCGGTGAGATCCTTATTTATCTACCCGTTTGCCAGAAGAATATCCCTGTTGTAGGATATGAACATTTCATGTCATGGTTATTGTGACTGTGACGAATCCACCTCGTCGCTTAAAACAACCTCTCTAACTTTGCGCGCCACACACACATTCCTGTTATACTGTGTTTGTGAGGACCAATACACTCGCGCTGAGCCCAGTAGCTCCATGAACTTAAAACACACAAGCTGTTCCTGGTTACCTGCTGGCGTATTGAGGGTGCACACTTAATATTTCAGTGGGGTTAGCCGTGTGTGTGTGTGTGTGTGTGTGTGTGTGTGTGTGTGTGTATGTGTGTATGCTACGGGGACTTGTCATCTTCAGTCTGGCTGCGTCTTTGCTGGGTTCAAACCCAGTTTGGTGTAATTGAATAAGTCAATGAATCTGTGTAAAAGAATTAAGTTGTAAAAATTATTTGTTTTTGTACATCAATTGTTTGTGGAGGTAATATATGGACAAAACTGATTAATGAGAAGAAATCAGAAATAAGAGAGCCTGATGTGAGGGGCTTAAACTATTGAATGAGGGCTGTGGGAAGAAGAGCGGCCATTTTTGTTTTCTGTTTCTTTGTTACATTGCTGGTAACTGGAGGGAGGCTGAGGCCCAGAGGATCTTTAGTTTCTTTTGCACCCTGTTTTGAGTTTTTGAGCTCAATAAATCACCAACACCGGTAACCCGACTGAGACTGGATTCTTGGAGGCCAAAGAACCCCGTCACAGTGACCCAAATCATCACTGTTACTGTTACTATATAGTAAATTAAATCATTACTGTTAAATTGTATGTATTGTCCAATTGTTTATTTGAATTCTTATTCCGGATTAGTTGGAGACATACACTAGGCTATATCAGCCCCACCAAAAATATTTTTCACCAGCCGCCACTGGGCCTGACGCTCTGTTGCAAACTACCTGCTCACACGGTACATCCAAAAACCAGAAGTCGGACTCAGTGCCGAGAGATGGTTGGACTCGTCATCCAGGAAGAGGAACTCCTTAGTTTGCACAAGCACAGTGCGCGAGGTTCTGGTAAATCGGCTTATGTCATTAAATCAGCTCTGCTTCAACAGCAGGATTTAGCCAAGGACACCTCATAAGGGCCGACTCAATTTCAAACATATTTGATTTTCTCCTGACCTCAAGATTTCTGATTGGTGTTCACAAGTCATTTTTTGCAAGTCCAAGTCAAGTCTCAAGTCTTGAGAAGGCCTGTCACAATTATCAATTAATCGCACCATAAATTCTAATCACTCGATTAATTAAAATAAGTGCAATAATTTGCTTGTTTCTCCTTGTGTTTTCATCTCCGTCACTGAGACGGTATAGCTTAAAGGTCGCTATTATATCTATGGAATGATCATTATCTTGAACTGCTAAATGAAAAATACAATTTAAAAAAGCACACACGCAATTTTTTTTCCAGTTAAATTTTGCATCTTTATTTTTTTCTTTCAAAAACAACAATTTTCTTACAGTATTTTCCTGACATTTGAGGTTACAACTTTTTCTAGTTTTAGGATTAAATGTCTGCTCTTTTATTTTTAAGTGAAAATGAGGGCTGTGAAAAAAAAACAATCACAATCCTGCCTTTTATTAATACATATGAAGTTAGCAACTACAAGAGATAAATAAAAACCCTAAATAAATACCAGGACAATAACAATTCTTTCATAAAAGTAACATTGTGGCAATAATTTTTTTTTAACTTATTGCCCTGGAACAGACAGAAACGACTTGGCGGGCAGTATTTTAAATTCAATTCAGTTTATTTATTTAGTGCCAATTCACAACATATTTCTCGTCTACGACTGCGATGACGTTTTTAAAGCTTGGCTTGTCGATCATGCATGCATGCGCACGGGCGCGCGGGCATATTTGTCACGTAGCGTTGCGTCAGTGACGTCAGAGCTACGTGACAGTTTGACAGCCCCTCTGCCGTTTTTTTTTTTTTTTACCTCTGCTGTGTGCGGGTAAGGCGAGCGGCGATCAGTCAAGTTAGTAAAACAAAAAACACTTCAAAATAAAATATTGTTCACAAGTCAGAAATCACGAGTCTAAGTCGAGTCTAAAGTCATTAAATATGCGACTTAAGTGCGACTCGAGTACGAGTCACAAACTCGAGTCCCCATCTCTGGGAGGTGGTCGTCAGAGGCTGATCGCCCCTCGTTAGCCCCGTATACTACGTGATGCACTATCAGGCTGAAAGTCGGCTTGATCGGAAAAAAAATCTTAAATGACTGAAGCATCACCCCGAAAAGGGCAAAAACTCCTTCAGTGTATGCCCGGCTTATTAGGGCCCCGAGCCTTTAGAGGCAACCGTGGTAAATAGACGAAAAGACATATCAGGAGAGGAAAAAATAATATATATTCCCTTTTAAACTTGTGCAATGGTTCTTTAATCTGCCGCAGATATGAAGACCTGAGCTAAACACAAATCAGAGTTTCCCAAAAACGGATAAAAACCGGTCATACGCTGTACGAATGTTTGCCCTTTGCAGGCAGATTCTCCAGTCATGAGAGATTTTTTTGGGACGAGTTCTGTCTAATATATGGGGCTAAAGAGGGGCGATTAGTATGTTGATCAGCAATGATGATTCAAATACACGAGCACATGAGAACGCACAAGTACACATATTGAGAAACTGCCGATGACTCACCTCAGTCCGTCACACGTACTGATGCTAGCTGATGACTCACGGTCATTGGCAATCGTTCCTTGGTAGTAGCAGTGATCCTGACCAAGAAAGAATAAGGTTAGCAGCGGTAAACATATGTCGATACCATCAAGTTTATTTCCTTATACAGTGCAAATACCAAATACATCACAGATAATTCATTAACTGGCCTTAAAAATGTCTCTCTGTGTATAGAAATACCCAGAAGAGGAAATAAAGCTTCCTGATACTTGAAGTTTTTCATATTTCATTTCCCCTGAGCTGAATGTGGTCTGGCACTCACTACGTCATGTGGTCTTGAGGTGACCCGAGTCCCGTCTTCCTGGTAGGAGGTTTCTGTGTAGTCTCTGCCTAATAACTCCCTGGTGATGAAAAATGATCAGTCAGGTCGTTATTCTGGACAAGGAACTGAAAAAAGATTTCTTTTTTATTTCAGTCTCTAAGAAGATGTGAAATAATGATTTCAGGAGAGAAACAAAAAACTAGAAAAATGTTGGACAATTAATTGTTCCAGAACTTTACAACGATTTGTGGTTTAATAATGAAAGATAAATACTTTCAGGATGGTGGAAACATACGTGTTTTTCTCAAGCTGCAGTTGAATGTTTTTTCCTCCGACAGTCATTGCGTACTTAACTGTCTGTGGTCTGAGGTTCTGTAGGAGGAAAACCTTTCAGTTTACTTTCATTCTCAAATCACCTTCAATGATCAGATCTTGTCTGCAGAGGACAGGTGTTTAAAGGATTTACCTCCGTGCTTCTTTTCCTGACTGCGTGAAGTCTGACGGGTCGAACCACCTCATAGTCGTCCCCCACCTCGAAGCCTGGACTGTGGCTTTCTGTCAAACCAGCAGATCAGAGATGTCTGTTACCAATTTCTGTCATTTCGGCAGTAAAGAATCCAGAATATCCTTATTCAATCACTTTGCAACTGTATATTTCAATGCATTATGGGTCAAACATAATGACATTTATTAAGTGTAGGTTCACACTGCAGGCCTTAACTCTGATGCATGAATTATGAAAGCCTTGGTGGCCGTGGTGCTGAATGCGACACGAATCTGATCTTTTCAAATGCAACCTGTGTCTAAATGGCCAGGTCACATTCATCCCACCTGAACGTCATTACTACTCAACAAAGGTCCCAGTTCTACATCTTGCTTCGCCGAAGCGGGAAGAAAAACAACAACCATGGCGGACGATGATGCATAAATGAGCCTTTTTTCATTATGATACTGGGCTAATATACAGTTAGAGTCTTTAGTAGGCTTCTATATAGGGTTGCCAACTATCCCTTGATAAACGGAATCGTTCTGTATTTAGAAACAGAAGTACCTGTCCCGTATTTAGTGGGAAAGTAATGCACTTAGGGCCGGATCTATCAAAGTTTTGCGTGTATAAAAACGTGAGCTATTTCGCTGCGCACGCTAAAAAATTTACAAACTGATCTATCAACAGCGCGCTAAAAGGATTTGGTCTTTAAAACGTGCTAAATAGCGCCTCTTATCCATTTGGTACTTTTTCTGCTATGAATATGCTATATGGGGCGTTTACACGCAAAAGTGCGTCTTGTGGGAGGAGAACATGTAAATATATTAATTTAGCACTCGCAAAGTGATTTATCAAACCTGAAAGCAATTTTGCTAACGGTATCTGACTCTATATTTAACACGTTTCAAAAGAAGGTGCAAATGGTCTGTATGCGTAATTGCGCACACATGGCAGCGGTTATTGTCCCAAGAAGGAGACATGGAAATGAAGCAAGGAGACGCAGAGAACGCATTTTTTCACTCCGTGTGAATGTTTTTGGAATGAACGAGGAAACAATCAACAAAACATATCGTTTATCCAGCATTGCCATTTTGGAGCTGTTGGAGGAACTCCGAATGGATTTGGAGCCAGCCACAAGGAGGACCCACGCAATACCAGATATCACTAAACTCCTTGCAACGTTGCACTTTTTTGCATCTGGGTCATTCCAGCGTACGGTTGCAGCGAGAGCTGGGATCTCCCAATCTCGTTTTTCAGAAGTGCTGTCCGACGTTCTAAATGCCATGTCGCCCTGACGCCCTACCGGAGAACCCCGACCTCCCCCCTGCGCCTGTGGAGCAACATGCCAATGCTGCGGGGATGCGTATGCGCAGTAATCTCATCCACAGTCACTTCTTGTGAACCATTTGGTATGTGCATTTTTCTACAGGCCAATACAAAACGCCTGTTTTTTTTTTGTTTTTTTTTTTTTTTACTGCAGTGAAGTAGAAATTCAGCCACATACCACCTTAGGGAATAAAGGTTGCCAAAGTTTATATATATATATATATATATATATATTTTTTTTTGGATGGGGTGGGGGTGTCACTGTAAGATTTAAATTTCTTAATGCACTAGTTTGTACAAACTACAAACTACTTTGCCACAAACCACAAAACGCGTAAAACCATCATTTAAATAGGGCGTCTCCAACAGTTTTGCACCTGCCACCAGTTACGCAATCGCTCTTGTTAAATCACCCGCAAACCATGGTTCAGCCCCTCGCGCAAAATTCCAGTTTGCCAGCGCAAATTACTGCACGCAAAATTGGATCTTGATAAATCCGGCCCTCTGTCCCGTTTTACTATGAGGTTAAAAAAATAGTCAGAAAATGGAAACGCTGATGGAAATCGAAGAACAAGGGCCCGTTAGATACAAAACTTAAGGTAAACTTCTTCCGGGGCCCTGACCTGCGTTTTGACCAATGAGCTGAAAGCATATATGTAACGATCCAGAATCCCCTCATCCCATTGGTCGAGCGAAGTGTTGCTCATGGAGAAAATGGCGGAAGATAACAGAGCAGTTTTTTTTTTCATGGAGTTGGCAACCCTACTTCTATAGGAGTCTGAAATGTTCGCAGCTCCAGACAGATCCAGTAGATATATTCCTTTGTGTTGTCTGTAGCACACCTTGTATTGTGTCAAAATGTGAACAAGTACAAAAGTATAAATACGTTTAAATAGTAAAGTTCAGCATAGCCACCACATACTCCACCACGTGGTGCTAAATAAATGTCTTTCACTTCCAGCAACTTCTGCAAACATGCATGGAAAATGCAATGGAACTGTTGTTTCCCCCAGTTTCCCAGTTTCAGTCTAACCAGTCTACAGCTTGTTTGTTCTCAGGCTTTGCACTGAGCAACATTTCTCACTGTCTTTGCTCTTTGATTATGATGTAAATGTTCCAACAGGCTGTTTCTAAATGAGAACAAACACTGTCAGGGATTTCTGGTCAATGAATGAATAACTTATTTTAGACAATCCAATAAAATGACAAATCTAACACATGCAAACACTATGAACGTGTGTGTGTCTGAAAAGGGGATAAAGAAGTGAAACTTTTCTTTCTTACAGACGTAAACACCAACAATCTTCCTTATTTCTACTTTACGTATGAATCCGTCCAACTCTAGAAGTCCATTAAGTAAGGAAATCAATTAATTTATGTAAATCTTGGCGAACTGATTCACATTATCCATGTTTCACATATTTATGCTATTGTTACACGGTAGCCAATAAAACTACAATGGTTTCAGTGGGAGGACTGGTCATCCAAACCCGCCTCTGCCTCATATCTTTCCAGGATGAGGAAAGCTGGTCAAACCAGTTGACAGGTCAGTTCCTGCTGAAATAGATGAAGCAGTGGAAGAAACTTCAGCTGTAACCTCTTAGGCGTGGCTCCCTGAAAACTTTCATTCATGAAGAGCTTTAATCTGAGAACCTGGCCTCCTGTAGACGATGAACTGAGCTCCTCCTGCAAGAACCTGCAGGATTTCCGTCTCTCTGTGAAGAAGTAGACGCACATTATCTGACACTTCTTCTTTTTAGTTCTTGTTTCCTCTTTTTAAAGCACGTTCTGCATTTTATATTGATCGGATTTCATGGAAGACATGGAGAGAAGATGAGAAAAAAGCTTTAACCGTTCATCTATAATCCGTCTGTCTATCTCTATAACTCAGATGTATCTCTGCTTTAATCAGTGGCGCCTCCAGAAGTGTTTCATAGGGGCGGCCAGATGGGGCCCCCCTATGATGGCCCCTATATGTTTCAGTGGCTACTGAATCTAAAAGCCATAATTTCAGCGACTGAATCAACTATTGTTGTAAACCTGCCTGTAGAAATGATAAAGACTTCAGTAACACCTCCTCAGATCTTGGTTTATTGTGTGATTTTTAATGTTACGTCGCTGCCTGTGCAGAATGGGATGAAAGGCTAAACTGATGCTATTACAATCTACACTGGCGAGTGGCCCACTAGCTTTAACGCTCCTGAATCGAATCCTTGATTCGCTCCGGTTCTGGTCCAATAACAAGCTTGGTTAAAGTACCATTAACTGTGAGGTATCTATAGGTGAGCCGTGCTGCTGTCTAGCCCTGTGATGATCTGATGAGCTGTCCAGGGTCTACCACCCTACCCTACGATAACCTCCACTCTAATAACATCTTCTGCTGCATAGAAACTCCTTGTAATGGATCCAGTGCTCCCATCTCTGATTCTTAAGGGTATTATCATGCTGATGAAGATTCACAGTCATTCTAAAAAGGTTAAAAAACAAACCATTGGACTTTGTTTCCAAGTTGAAGACGTTTCGCTTCCCATCCAGGAAGCTTTTTTAATTCAAAATGTCATAGATAGCGTTGAGTTCACACCTAAAGCAGCAGAGGCAGCTAGTTTCCATGCAAAGTCGATGGTTGACGCGTATTTTGGCGCAGCAAAAGGTCAACTGAAGCAGCATGTCGTGAGCTTCTGAGGCGCGTGATGCGAAAAACTGAACTTTTGCTGCTGGACACGCCTCATCGACCAATCAGAGAAGCTGATCTGGGAGCTGGCAGGGAGTCAGACACAGCACTGCTGATGCAGAGCGCTGTGATCACCCTCTGAAACAGGTTATTAACGCCTAATGTTTAACTTTTATTAAAGTACCTGCCGGTAAAATATGTTTGATTTTATTATTCTGGAGCCTGCAGTTTGGATAACGTACATGAAAAACACCTTCTAGCCGTGAACACTAGCAGGAAACTGCAAAGAGGCTACTGGGCCAGAGGCTGGTGTTGAACTGGGCTCCCAATGAGAGCTGGTGTACGGGGGTCAGAAACAATATCTGAACGCATGATGGTAATCTGGATGAACTGACTGCACAGATGGAGTTTTCAGGTAGACTTTCTCACTTAAAAACATCATAAATCTACTTTTTACCGACAGATCATAGCAGATGTAGCTGCCATTGCTCCTGGCAAAGAAAGGATAGGGTAGCTCCGCCCAACGCATCATCAGACCCACTTTTCCTGCGCTCAGCTAGAGCAGCAAAGATGCTTCAGCCGACCATCAGAACTAAACTTGTACAAGCATTAAAAATAAAGCAGCACGCGTGTTTTTGCTGCTCCTGCTTCGTGCGGTCTGAACGTACTTAGCATAATACAGTAGGCCAACAAAGCCTTTAGAAAACATGCAAATTGAATCGGACGAACATTTGACTTCTTCTGTTAGTCTGCAATGCCACAAACTTGGACTGGTATTATCATGTTTTTATTACCACATTATGATCTATCAAGAGGACAGGAAACCTCCAGTCAGCAAAGATCTTGTTCTCCTCCTGCTCAGCATGCTACCCTGTGTGAATCCCTCCTGTTCCTGCAGCAGGACCACCAAGCACAGGTAAGAACAGCTCTATAGATGACGGCCTGATCTATCACCACTGAGTCTTTCAGAAGGATTTAAAAGGAATTTATGCTCCTACTGTCCTGGTTGATGTTGAACCAAATCTAAGAGCCAGAAACTAACAGAAACCTTAAAGTGAAAGTTTATCCGTAAAGTGAAAAAACATTTAACAAGTTAACAGATCTGTAGAGAAGATTAGGCCTTTGAGACTGAGACTGATGTTGGTTACTACTTCCTGTTTTCACACTGTTAGTGTCAGTTAGAAATAAATCACTTCATTGATAGTTTTTAACCTTTTATGCGCTGATAATTCGGCTGACCTCTATGGTGCGCGTCACATTAAAGCTGAGCTAATCATCGGCTCGTCACTCTCCTCAACGCTGGATTCATTTCCATTTAGAAACTTTGGACGTTCTACACCGGAAAAAAATCCAAATCTAGATCACTCAATTTTTGATTAAGTGCATTTGTTCTTAAATTAAGGAGGTAAGTGAGACACTTTGCCAATGGAACAAGACAATTCACATTTAAAATAAGAAAACAATTGTACTGTCAAGTGCATATTATCTAATTATCTTATTTTAAGAGTAAAGATGCTCATTCCATTGGCAAAAATCTGATGTACCTGCTCAAACTAAGGGTAAATAAACTTTGTCTAAGACATTTTTTACTTATTTCTAGATTGTTTTTGCAGTGTAATTATCTTATGTCAAAAATGTAAAACAACTGGATCACAGTGAAGTAACGACCTTCAACCATCAGACATGGAGTGAAGAGGTTCTCTGACTGGATCTCTGGCGCTAACCCATCTGTTATTATGGGACCTCTCATAATAATCTAATGCATAAAATTTAAGCTAATAAAGCAGTTTTGGTAAATTACCAAAAGGAAGAAGCACTGTTATAAAAAATTTGCAGAATGTTTGCTTGTGTCTCAGCCCCCCCTTCATTGTCCACTAGGGCTGTAAATCACATCCATCATCGCGATTCGATTCAGTATCGATTTCCTGACCCGACGATTCGATTATTTTCGATACTCAAGAATACACCACGATACGATTCATCGATTAGTCGATTAATCAGTTAATTTTTTTTGGTTTTTTGTTTTTTTACACATTACAGGCTAAACAAAGTTTCAAGTTTGAAATAAATCAATGAAAGCTGTAATATCGTTATTCATTTTTTTTAGAAACAACAGCAAATAACAGAAGTAGAAAAGTTGCATCAAAAAATACTGCAGAAAATCAGTGCAATTCAAAACCTCGGCTCCAGACGTCCCGCCCCCTCCACAGACGCTCCGCTGCTCCTCTCCCTGATCGTAGCTGACCGCAGACAGTGCCGCAGACAGGAGGCCGGCTTGTTTTTTTTTATGACCGAAATTGCGGAAAACAACTCGTGAAGTTTGACCCGCTAGAAGAGCGAGGTGCGCGAGAACGCTGGGACCCTTTTTCCACCTGGATCCCCGCTCTTTTTGGCCCTGATGTCCCTCCGTCGTCGGACTAAACTCGCCCCCACTTCCTCGCCGCCTCGGCCGTATCTAGACCCACAGCGTGTAGCTCAGACCACGCTTCAATACTGAGCATAAATCAAAAATGTCTGCATCAAGCTCACTGCAACACACTGCTGTAAGAGTATAACCAGGAAGCGACGTAGGAGGGCAAAATAGGTTTAGCGCCACCGCAGGACGGGAGGGAGAATTACGCCCAGGAGCAAATGGATAAAAATAGACCGGAGGAAAAAAAAAAACATGAATCGATTCTCTTGCGGACGAATCGATGCATCGAATCGTCGGCTGTTGGATCGATGCATCGATACAAAACTATTATTATTTACACCCCTAGTGTCCACCATATTGGATCAGTCCATTTGCTGCACATGTTCAGAAAGGTCCAATCAGACAGCAGCAAACCATTTGAAAACAAACCATGCAAAGAGCAGTGTTGCCAACTTAGCGCTTTAGTCGCTATATTTAGCCACTTTTCAGACCCCTCTAGCACTTTGATTTCTAAAAAGCTCCTAGCGCCAAATCTAGAGACTTTTTTCTGCTACTGGAGACTTTGGAGACAACATCTAAAAGCAGCGAACTCTGCTCTCCAGAGCGAGTAGATTGGTAACCCCGCCTCCTGCTCTCCTCTATCTTGTCTGCTGTCATGATTCATGCAGCTATTATTTCATCCTAATGAAAAATGGAGAACAGATAAGCAGATCATGGCTTGTCTACAGTGAAACTAACAAAGTGACTAAAACTAACGAGGTGATTATAGTTCCAAACTTCGTTCTTAAAGGAAACTATTTTTTTCCGTGTGAAGTTTGAATCCTGCAGGGATTTACATGAGGAATTTTAGACACTTTTTAGCCTTAAAATCTGTCCTGAAACCTGGAAAATCTCATGTCCTCATTCTGTGCTTTTCCATCAGTCCAAGCAGATTTACAATTAGTGAGTAAGTTCCTCTGACTCACAGCTACCTGGTAGTACCTGGGTGGGCAGCGGCTTTGTTGTGATCCAAAGTCCAGCTCCTGCAGCGTGTCGTCGCTCTATTTACTGGGTTATTAGGTAGTAACATACATGCAACTACCAGCTGCTGTGGCAGTTTGGTTAACCTCAGGGCACAGAGCCTCTCTACTTGAGCAATTCTTACCTAATCACATGTCTTAAAACTGTTTTGGCCCTGAGCTGAAAACACCTTGGCCAAATGTACAGACAGAATCAGGTAGTAATGATTATCATAGAGTCTCTTCTCCTTAACAGGTTCACAGAACAGCTTTCTCCCCTCAGGATCAGGAAGCTTTGAATAAATGGTCAAGGCTTTAGTTATTAATCAGCCCTCCTGTGCTGAACAGAGGTAACAGTATCCGGTCACTTACCTGAGGGCTTGAATGAGACGTTTAGGAACAGAAGCCACAGTAGGAGTGTTCTCGTCATTGTCCCGGTCCAAACGGTGGCAGATCACTGCCCTGATGGGGTTTTATGAGTGTTACCTGCTCGCTGCAGTGCTGCCCAGGCAAGGCCACGCCTTCTCCCCTGGGCCCACTTCCTTGTTGACATTACTCCAAGGAGCCGGCCTGAACACGCCCCTGCCTCAGTGAAAGAATTCAGGAAGAACACAGCTTGTGGCCTGACAGATAGATTTTATCATTGTGATGTCACAATCTGCTTCTGACCACAGCTGAAATCATGCTTCCCCTTTCTTCATATCTACCTTCTATGGGTTTCTGTTAAAGCCATAAATAAGGAGTCTGACTCACCGCCTGCTGTGACTGACTGACTCAAGTACATAATTTACTCAATATGCAAATTTCCACCCGTCGTTTTGCTCACTGTCATCAGCACATCCTAAATGGTGTCAGTGTGGGTGCGGCATTCAGCAGACCCCTGCAGGGAGCTCGGTCTGCAGAGGCTAGGCGCTGCTTCTTTCTCCCTGCGTCTGCCCTCACCCACTGAACACATGCCTGGTGTCAGAGCAAAGACAATAAGGCCAATGTCTGTCCTTCCTCTCTGTGTCTCTCTGCTGACCGGCACTTCTCAGGACACAGGGTTCAGTTTATGTGGCACTGTAGCATCTCTGTGGCAGTCTGACGGCTGGTGAAACATGGCGGCGGTTCAAAGAGTCATCTGAGGCAGACTTCCTCCTCCTTCCTGCTCGATGTCCTAAAAAGATGGCTGAAGTATTTGGACAACAAGTCCCTCATCAAAGCACAACAAATAAATAATGATAAAGTTTTTATATGATTGTAAGATTCTGTTATTTCTGTGACTAACTGGATGTGCTCTCTTCGTCCTCTGACATGGGAGCTGGCTCGGAGCTCGTCTGCCTGGCTGTGTGTTTCCTGGACGGGGCCGCCTGTGGAGCTGGTTGACAGTTGCCTTTTGTATCTATGCTTCTTTTTCTATGTCTGCTTCTGTCTCCTTGAACCCCAGTGGGCCTCAGCAGATGGCCGCTCACACTGAGCCTGGTTCTGCTGGAGGTTTCTTCCTGTTCAAAGGGAGTTTTTCCTCTCCACTGTCGCTACAAGCATGCTTAGTGTGAGGGATTGCTGAAGAATCAATGAGTCGATGCAATCAGCTGGTTTTCCTTAGATTGAAAACTTTGAATCAATCTGACTGGATGATCTGGTGAACTGTAAACCTGAGATTACATGATGTGAATTGGAGCTATAGAAATAAACTGAATAGAATTATTTATTTTATTATTTTATACTTTATATTGTTATTTATATTATATTTAACATGTTTAGTTTTTTTTTTTTAACAACTTGTGTTTCCCCTTGTTGCTGCTAAACACATTTCTGTCTATCGTCCAACTGCAGGACGATAGACATTGTTCTATTCAATCCTATTCTATTCATACTCATCTTCCCTCTTATCTGCCGGCGGGTCGCCTCATGTTCGGTAAAAGATGCCAGGAGAACCTTCTGAGGGAGGCATCCAGGATGCATCCTCAGCTGCCTCCTCTTGATTTGGAGAAGAAGCGGCTCTACTCTAAGCCTCTCCCTAATGACCAATCTCCTCACCCTATCTATAAGGGAGAACCCAGCCACCTTGTAAAGAAGCTAGTTCCAGCCATGTTTATCTGGGATCTTGTTCTCCATTTCTTGACCATTGCTGAGGGTAGAAACATTGATGATAAATCTCTTTGCACTGGAAAAACGATCTAGAAATAAGTAAAGTTTTCTTAAATTAAGTGTATTTATCCTTAATCTAAGTAGGTAAATGAGACGGTTCGCCAGATAATTAGATAGCAGTCGCATTTTCTTAATTTAAATGTACATTTTCTTGTTCTATTGGCAAAATGTCTCTTTTACCTCATCAATCCAAGAACAAATGCACCTATTTTAAGAACAAATAAATTAGATTTCGATTTTTTTTCAGTGCACTACAGCAGACCAGAGCAGCCTCCCTATTAGGGCTGCAGCCACGCAAACCAGTCTGTCAATCTCCTGCTTGAGTCAGAGGACACAGCAGAGCAAACGCTGATTGAATGATGCTGTAATAATGGAGAATGCTTGATTAAACCCCTGGGTTGCTTTCTGATTTGCTAAGGGTATTGCATATTACCACCTAAACTCCAGAAGACTGGCCAACTCATGCAGCTTAAAAAGGAACGTCACAAAATCTACAGGAAATGTCACATTCATAGGTGCTGAATAGAAATAAATTGACCTGCAAAAATAGATCTAAAAATGAGTCAAGAATTCTTTAAATACGTGTAACTGTCCTTTAATATGAGCAGGTCACTAAAATGATCTGCAAATGGAATAAGCATATTTATGAACTGCACTTCATTTTTGCATTTTAAGTGCAACAATCTTATTCCTTAGATCATTTTACTCACCAGGTTTAAAATACTCTTATTTTAAAACGAATAAGCTACAAAGATGAAGTAGGAATTAAAAGCCTTTACTTTTTAAAGGAGCTACACTGTGGTTTAGGGCCGTCTATAAACCGTTTCTATGTGGTGCTGATCTGCATGCAGTCGTCAGTTGGAGGCAGGGCTGCTGCAGTACTCTGCATGCAGGAATCAGGGTGTTCCTTCCCCTTAAACCTTATCTGGTTGAACATTTAGGCCCCGTCCACACGAAGTCAAAACGAACACGAAACGCTAATATTTTCCAGAACGTTTGTCGTAAAGACGGAGACGTAAAATAAATGTGAGCGTCCACACGAATGCATGAAAACGCTGCAAAATGTATGCCAGGCCTGTAAGTGGCGCTGTGGTACCAAAGCAAAAATAGGTCACGAAATGTTGGGCATGCGCACTAATATTTATACATGGTGCCCTGCGGGTCCATTTTCGTGGTTCAGTCAAATTCAGGTGCTGAACTATGTCATCGATATTGCTCTGTTCTTCCTGGAGATATTCCAGAAGAAGAAGATTCTGTTGTAAGCCCGACAGCAGGGTGAGTAGCATTAGCAGCAACCATTCAACACAGTACGGCGCCATTGTTGTTGTGATACTGTGTCGCGCATGCGTGTTTAGAGGCGACGCTATGACGCATGCGTGTAAGAAAAAAAATGCGGTTAGAGTTTAAAGATGGAAACGCGAAAACGGCGTTTCAAAATCTTCCCACTCTGAAGGCTTAATAAAAAAAAGATCGTTTACAGACCCCCGAAACGCCGGCTTTGTATGGATGAGAGGCTGGTTTGGTGAAAAATGTGTGCGTTTAGGCCAGGGTTTGACTTCGTGTGGACGGGGCCTTAGCCGCCTGTTTTTTTCAGGCCTATTTTACTCAAATTCTCTCCTCCCTCCACTGGCTTCCAGTTCACTCTATGATAGACAGTTTGCTTTTAAAGTCATAAACCAACTCGCTCCATGTGTCTGAACTTTTAACTGTTCGCCACGACAATCAGCATGTCCCCTGATTTTCCCTCCTGGGTTGGGGAACCAGAGATTCGATCCAATACTGACCAAGGAGTCTAAATCCCAACTAGAACACATCTACTCACACAGGCCTTTCACTCCAGGCAGTTCACCTTTGTTTGTTTTGTGTGTGTGGTTTTTTTTTAATGGCTCTATCTTAGATAAAAATGGGCACCAGCACCCATCACGACCCTGCTAGGGACAAGCGTGACGCTAAATCGATGGATGGATGGATGCAAAAGCAAAAAATGGAAATATAAATGTGTCATTTTTGCTTAAATTAAGCAGGTGAGATACTTTGCCCATGGAACAAGACAATTCACATTTAGAATATGTAATAATAATTGCTTTGTCTTATTTCAAGTGCATTCTATCTGATTATCTTATTTTAGGAGTAAAAATTCTCTTTCCATTGGCAGATCATCTTATTAGGGTTAAATACACTCAATTTAAGATTTTTTAAAACTTATTTCTAGATGGTTTTTTCAGTGTGGTTCAATCTTGCATCTTCAGTTTAAACTTTTATTTTCTATAAATGTTTATGTTTTATATATTTTGTCTCAGGATCTTGTAAAGCACTTTGTGAACCCTGAGGTTCCTTGAAAAATCCTACAGAAATAAACTTTGATTCTGGCATCTTTATGAGGACACGCTTTGGTATAAACTTGTCTGCATTCTTCTGCTCACAGGATCTTGGCTAAGAGGGAAGATTGTTGCCTAATTCAAATACTTTTGTCTACCACTATTAAATATTTTGTTTCCTTTCAGAGTATCTAGCTACATGCCCATGTCTCAACACGACAAGGAGTTTTTGGTCCAGATGAAGTTTGAAAAGTCATAAACAGACGTTAGATTTGATCCAAAGTTCGTAAACATCAACCTTAAAGATGATGCTTACTTAGCAACTTATCATGCATAGTTAACCGGAGTAAACATATGGAAGCCCTGAAAGGCAAGAGAAATGAAAAAAATCAACGGCCATTTTTTTTTAAGTGTTCTTGTAATACTTTGTTTTGCCACTAGAGGCCCTGAAGTAATGAGACAGACAGTCGCTGTCGGCTGTATTCTTCATCCAGTCAGAGAGGCCTGTTTTCCAAGAATCACTGTCCCAAATAAAAAAAGTTGATGTTTGAAAAATAAAATAAGATACAAACAAGGAACAAAAACTATGCCTTCATTTGCTGTTGGAATGTGCTTATCATATCAACCTTGTATTTTTATGAACGATGGAGAATTATTTGCAGGGATGATCCAGCTACGGAAGCTGGGACTTTTTTTTTTCTGTGCCTTCTCGAGATAACGACTTAACTATCTTGTTCTCACAGTTAAACCATTAATTGTTTTCTCGAGTTAACGAGATAATTAACCAGCCTCATTCATAAGTAATGAATGAGTCTGTCCAGCAGCCCTGGATTCCCAGTCCATCCATGCCTGCAGGGCCCGTTGTTGTGAAGTTGCAGTATGCTCAAATCATTTTTCAGTTTCCTTTTTCTTTTCACTCATTGTCAGGTCGTGGTGGATGTTTGGATTGCATGGAATACAGTAGAAACAAATCTGTTTGTAATGAAAATCTTTAATCTTGACTCATTTTGGGGGCTAAAGGCCTGGTTATCCTCCTGCAGCAGTTTGTCGCAGTGAGCTTGTCGCAGATATTTTTTATTTAT